TAGTCATGACACTAGGTACACGTAGTTACTCACAGTTCATGGCTTATCATTCATATTATCGCAACCGCACATATATTTCATTGCTTTTCTGCCATTTTCAGATGTTTTTAGAAAAAAATCGATTATCCGTCTTTTTCGATTATCCGTCAACATGCCGGTCCGGTGACTGACGGATAATCGAGACTCTACTGTAGTTCAAATTTTGATAAAATCGTGATCAATTGAATAATCGATGGGAATTTTCGTGTAAATAAAAATAATTCGATAGAAATTTTTTCGATGAACTTTTTTTTTTTTTTTAATTTTTTAAAAAAAAAAATTGAAATTTTTTTTTTTCTTCAAATCGTGAAAAATATTGTATGAGAATTTTGCATGTCCGTCCGTCCGTCCATTTTTGCCCGTCCGTCCGTTCAGAGCCTTCTGAATTTAGTTGTCCGTCCGTCCGTCCGTTCAGGACCCTCAGAAATTTTCTTGTCCGTCAATTTTCAAGAAAATTTTAAGCGGCTCTGAACGGACGGACGAACGGACAAAAAAAAATTCAAGAGCCCTGAACGGACGGACGGACGGGCTAAAAAGACGGACAGTCCGTCCGTTTGACACCTTTAGATATAATAACTATACTCACTAGATATTATACTCACACCGTGGCAGCAAGAGCATACACCACTAGCGACATCTTGTTGCACGCTATAGTAATGCCCTATATGTTTGTATACACTTGACGTTGATTTCAACACATTATTCGTGACCACAAGGTCTCGACCACAAAGATCTCGGCGTCGTCATTGACCAGAAGCTCAGCTTTGTCAAGCACATTGACGCGATCACTTCGAGAGCTACAGCAGCCCTGGGATTCATCAGAAGATTTTGCTACCACATAACCGACGTTAAAACGCTCAAAACTCTATACTACGCACGTTTAGTCTTATCTTGATTACTGCAATGTTGTATGGCCAACCTATGCCGTGCATATCGACAAAATTGAGAGCGTTTTGAGAAAGTTTATGAAGAGAGTACCGTACAGCGGCCAACGGCTACAGTATCACCGACTACAAAAAGCGACTTGAGGTGTTGAACATGACATCGTTGGAGCGTTGGAGGGTGAATGCATCAATTTTATTCATGGACGACATCGTCAATGGGATCTCAAATTGTCCCAATGTACGCAACGATATCGCAATTGGAGAGAGCGTACGTAGGTTACGGCACACAGACTACCTCAAGATTAAAGATAGGCTCACGGACAAACAAATCAGAGCTCAAGTGCTTCAAATATGCAAGTTTGCAAACAAAGTGGCTGATCAATTCAATAACTCAACCAGCCGTGCAAACTTCATCTCTTCGGTACGCAGCGAACAAAGCCAAAAATTTTATATAAAATATTGACAAATTGTTATCTTACATCCCTACAAAATGTATAGAAATAATGATATTTATCCGTGATTTTTACACAAACTTTAAAATAAGTAGCAACATTAACTGGTGAGTTGGTGATTAACTTTTGACCTGCCATTAATTTATAATAGAAACTACCGTTTATGTTAATGTATTTGCAAGTATTGTAAATTTTTTTTTCTTATGTCTTTCGGTCTCTACTAAATTACAAATTTATAACTACCAAAAGGGACTTGTTAGATTAGACGTAAAATTTTTCTTCAATGTATCACCTCTGGATAAATTGAATGATGACTTTTGCAGTCATTAGGGCCGTCACTACAGTGTTAACGCTTCAGTTAGTCTTTCATTTTTTACACGTTTAAGTTAGGCTATATTGGACCGTTTACATTTCGGCTACCTATGCGTTTCCATGTATTGGTTAGGTTATCTTGTGTCAATGCTTTTTAGACCAAATTGTTATACCAATCGAGAAAGACTATTACAACTATTTATTGTACAAACACAAAAAGATCAGGTTTTTCACGACTCTTGGAGTCGTTTTCCTGCAAACCAAAATATTCAGCCAGTTTTTGGCGATGTGAAATAAATAAAATAAAATAAAATAAAATTACTATATTGGGCAACAAGGTGTCGAATGTGGTATATTGCTCTTTGCTGCCACGATGTAATATTACTAGAGTAATAAGATGGCATCTCATTACTACTTATTAGGAGTTACTAGTAATAATTAGTAAGTATCTTATTAGTCCAAACTATATGGTGCAACCCCAGAAAACTCTTACCTCGTTTATTGGTTCATCATCAAGTCCCATATCCGAAAAATCGTCGGATTCTACATCTTCCATTGCAACATTACTGTTGTTATCCTCATCTGATATCGCATCAAGAGAATCAGCATTTTCATTCTTAACGTCTTCGACATCACTTAAAGACTCGGTATCGTCCGCGCTATTGAATAAGTTGTCATAGTCTAGAACTGTGTATGATGCAGGTGACATTTCCCATTCTTCCATTGCTTTGCGAATATCAATTTCAAGACGGTTGTGAATGTTGTTTTTCAAACATTTCTCCAGATCCAATGGCATTTCACATATGTATGGCTGCAAGTTCATATTGATGTACATAAATTATACATAATACTTTATTCCCAGAAAGCCATGATCACATGCTTTCAAGCTCATAAAAAAATATGTGTCATGCAATTCTGTAGCGCCACACATCAATGAGTCGTTTTATCAATTCAAAATTTCGTTTTTGTCGACAAGATTTTGCAGTATTTCGCGATATGTCGAACTTCGAACATTGTCGAAGTCAATTGCAACTACAGAAGTAGTGGACTCCCGGAAAATGCAACTCTCACAATGAGCAATTGTCCAGAAAAACGAATTGAATTTGGTTGACCTCAAGACTTTTTTGCAAAGGGTAACCAAAGTATTGGTTGGAAAATTATTATTTTTCAGTCTCAAATTTTTGGAATTAAAGTTACCGAAATCAATGAGAAATGATAAAAAAACAAGGTTTTTTGAAACATTCCAGAAAATACAACTTTTCGGAAAATGCAACTGCCTCGTTTAAATTTTAGTTGCTTTTTCCAAGAGTCTACTGTAATTACAGCTGATTTTGCTGCCATTGATTTTACCGTGGCGCTGCAGAGATAATTTCTTGGTTGTAGCATCCTTACTGTAAACATATGTGATTTTGCTGTCATATAAAAATCATCAAGATCTTCTATTGTAGTATTCTTGCAGTCAACAATAACTACTTCATAAAGATTATCCAACAGCGTTTTTTTGAAAGACTTAAGCAGGTATTGCGTGTATGTTCGTTCCATATCAGCTTCATATTCATATGATAATTGTCTATCAGAATCAGTTTCGGTCATAAAATAATCGTCAATACTCAATATTCGCGCTGAACCACCCATTTCCTGTTCCTTGTCCTTGATAACCTTAGATAAATAAGATTTGCCAGAACCGGGAAGACCACGCATTATGATCACAATCCTGAAAATCAATTGTATAATACGTAAAAGAAAAAATTTGCAAGATTAGAACACTTCTGGTTCTGATGCAGATTCAAATCTAACGGTAAGACCAAAAATATCACAACCTTTTCGGTCTATTCCGGCGTTCTGGAGGAAATAATAAGTCCTTTATATTCAATTTTGGGTTTGTTTGTATATTGAGTGCAGAGTCATTTCGATATGTCGTTGAACTGTTCGATGGCGTGCTGTCAACTTTTTGTGGAGCGTTCTTCTTCGGTCCCGGGGAGCTTTGAAATAGTTAATAGAACAAGACTAATAACATTTGTGTCTGATTAAAATTGATTCAAGTAAAATTACTTATCGCATTGAGCGTTCTGATCACGTGAAGCTCGAACCCAGATTTTATCTTCACGCAAGTTTCGTCTATAATACAACTCGTTTGATGTTTGTGTGTTTGACGACGGAATAATATGAGAATCATATCGTGATTGAAAATGTTGATATTGATGCTGACTTTGAGGTGGTTCGTATGAAAAACGTTCTAGACGCTCAGTGGTTCCTTGTTGAGTCCATTTCGGTTGTCGCAATTGTCTGTATTGGTCTTTAGGTTCCTTTTTAACCCAATGATGCTGTTCTATCTGTTCTTTCTTGCCAGTGGATCTCGGTGGAGGATGCTGATGCAACGAGAATCCTGTATTGGAATGGTGGTTGTATTCAATTTGAATAACTGGACAAAACCAGTTCCATGTATGTACTTTCGATTTATGATCGTATTCAATGATTTTTCGGGGAAAATCATCATGCTGTTTGTTCGAAGAGCTATTTTCACCAGGTGATGTTTGATCACCAAAATTTGGTTGTTTTTGTGTTTGATTCTGATAATCAATTACTTGTATTGGATGAAATTCTTCACCGTCGTTCTGTGGCGGCAAACTAAAAAATATGTCTGATTCACGAGGTCGCTTGCAATTGTGCTTGATTTGGTAAAAATCTGCATCGCTCACCGGTGACTGAAAAAAAGATTTTTATTCCAATTATTGAAGAAAAAAAATGACTATTCAGAGAAAATAGGTACTTTCTGTGCCAAATGGGTTCTATCCCGATCAATATGGTCATTTCTTGAGTGATTGGATGAATTTTCATTCCAATATCGCCGACGCTTTGAATTTATTTCGAATTGATTGGAGTTCGGTTGAGACATGTCCATATCCACATCTCGTTCACTTTGTCGATTGTTATCGTGAAAAGAATTTATTATTTGATGCTTTTGTGTATCTGTGTTATTTTGATATCTTCCAAAACGATTATCACTACTACCACAAGGTTGATCCAACGTATTCAAACTGGACCGATCATTTTCTTCCAAGTTGCTATAGTCATGATGAGCTTTAGATGGTTGTGTTTCGTTTTGTTGCTTCTGAATATTCGATAAAAGCGTCTGAATTTCAGGATTGCCCAAAATGTTGTTCACATGTGCTACAATATTTAAATCTGCTTTTGGGACTTTTTCTCCAGACACCAAGTCCAATCCAGGTATATCACCGCCCCCATCATCATTATTGGAAGGGAACAATACTGACCCAGGCGTTTGAACACAGTTATCGGCAGTTTGAGTTGATGGGATGTGACTCTCTTGATCTGTTGTCTGTTCGAATGCCTCGTTCTGGCTTTCATCGGTTTCACGAACCTGATTAGCTGGCTGTATTCTCGCTTCTCGAAAAGAGTTCAAACGCTTTTGTCGCAGTGTTTCACGTCGAACCAACAACTGTTTTCGACAACCTTCCATTTTTACGACAAAATCATTGTATTGATTCTGATCTGGATGGTTTGCATTATTTAGTTTCCATTCCATGAATGAGTCCTCCCATTTTCGGAATTGTATGTCGAAAGCAACTTCTTCTTGAGATTTTTCCTCATTCACATATTCATCTTGCTGTGGACCATCATTGTTCATTTGGTCTTCGCGATCTGGTTGCGTTCGATTATTGAAATTATTTCCTACAAACGTACGTGTGTTTCGATTATTATTGTTCCAGCGATTATTTCGATACGGTTGATGTCTGCGGTATCCGTCTTGATTCTGTTGCGAATAATTTGTATTCTCGAAATTTGCACTTTGACTATGATGCACTTGAGTTTCATTTGAGTTTATCGATGTTTTTGTGTTGTTGGCATTGAATAGCGGTTGTTGTTCACTGGTAATTTGATCAGTTGAACTTGTTGGTGTTTGTTGTGTCATATTTGGGGCAACTTGTGAAATAGTTTGAGTATTTTGGCTGACTGGGGCATCGCCATGGGTCTGTTGCAACGGTGGTGGGGGTGGAGGTGGTTGAGGTTGCGTCGGCGGTGGAGGTGCAACACTGTGAAGCTGATATGCATTGAATGCATTTGGAATCATATTGGGAACAGCATTTTGCGCTGTCATTATTTCTTGATACTATGGATGAGGGGATAATTGATTTTAACCAGGAAAATAATTGAAATACATTTCTCAAACACCAAATGGTCTACAACCACTTACCCGTTCTCCATACTGAGCTTGCCATTGTGCCAATTGAGTTTGATATAGTTGCCATTGTTGCCAGTTTTGTTGTTGCAGTGCGTATTGCTGTTCAGCCGAAAGTTGATACATACCACCTAAATTCATAGATGACGATCCAGATCCAGCGCCTTGTTGAGCCATTCCTTGTGTTTGATTCGGCGTTTGCCATATTGATGGCCAGGACATTTCCTCTTTGTGGAAATGCCAAATACTCTAAGAATAAACTAATGGTTTCTGAATATTCGTTTCGTTCAACGAATAGGAATCGCGAAGTTCTATTTTTATCTTTAATCAATCTTTTCGTAAAAACCAACTAAATTAAAACAGCATTTAAATAATCGTAGACTATTTTATTTAAATTTATTATTGCTGAAGCCAAGCTAGACAGTTTTTCGTATAATTTCTCGACGTATGTAAGCGACAGGTTCTCAGCAATGTCGTAAACGTCAAAAATGATTTTGACACATCAAAATGCAGTGTCTTAACTTGGCAATGTTATAATATACCGATATCAAAAAATTAAAATACGAACAAAATGACGAAAAAAATCCACTTATATTTATTTTTACACAAAAAATTTGCCCTAGTTTTTTTTATTGTAACTAGGCCCACTTTCCAATGATCTGTGGTGAAGATAAAAGAAATTCACCAATCGCTCAGTGCAGAATAGTAGACGATTAGATTGACGTTTCACCACTTGACATTTATCAAGTTTGTTTGTTGGTATGGTATGTAGATCAAAATATTGAAAGAAAAATCATCGAATTCATAGAGATGAAAATGGGCCTGCTCACCGATTCTCATCAGTCGCCAAATAAAAGAAAGTTCAGGAAATATTTGATCAAATATAAAACTCTGGTTTGTGCATTGCTTTACATTTCCGGTATAGCCTATTTTTGTTCACTGGCACACTCATCACGAAACAATGCGACGTATTTCTCTGAAAACGCTCTACTACCCGGTAAATGATGACATGTAAAAATTGTTGAAAAATATTTGGTTTTTAACACCGGTGTCTATTTATAGGTCTAGTGAACTCAGAAATGCGATCGGAACACACAAATTTTGCACTCCGACTACATGATGACTTGGAACGTGAACGAGAGAAACATAAAACTTCCATGCCAACCGCTTGGATTCTTGCGAAATTTCGTCAAATAGGACTCGAAGCGTACAGTCATAACTTCACGTTGAACTATCCGTTGGGCGGAGGACGCGTATTTATTGGCAAAAATGTATATGGAATTTTACGTGCACCAAGAATTGGTTCAACAGAAGCTATTGTAATTGCAACGCCTTACCGAACACCGGAATCGATACACCCAATCGTAATGCCCAGTCTCCCCATTTTAATTGCATTTGCCAACTATGCACGAAGTAGGATTCCATATTATATTCCTGTTGTGCGTGCGAAATAAAATCATGTTTTTCTCTAAAATACATTTTCAGGACAAAAGTACTGGGCAAAAGATATTATATTTATTGTAACGGATCAAGAACAACTGGGTATGCACGCCTGGCTCGAAGCATATCATAATCCAAAGGGTATTCTAAATTCAAACTCGATTTTAAATTGTGGTTACCTTGAAGCTCGAGCAGGTTCAATTCAAGCAGCAATAAATTTGGAGTTGCAATCGTTTGATCTAAATCACATCGATATAAAAATTGAAGGACTCAATGGACAACTGCCAAATTTGGATATAGTTAATCTTGTTCAAAGGATTGCTGCAAAAGAAGGTTTTATCAGTGGTCACAGACAAACTTCAAATTTCAAACGAAGCGGCGCAAAAAGCTCTTGGGAAGAAAATTTCCGTCACTTGATTTCAATGCTATTGACTCTCTCGGGTACTTCACCTAATGGAAATCATGGACTATTCTACAAATTTGGAATTGCATCAGTGACGCTTTCAGGTCAAAAACGGGAACAAACTAATTATAAGCGAAGAGCGAACGGAGCAACATCGATGTTGAGATTAATAGAGGGAATTGCTCGCAGTGTCAACAATTTACTCGAACGATTCCATCAAAGTTTCTTTTTCTACTTACTCGTGGCTAGTGACCGTTTTGTATCGATTGGTGACTATATGCCCAGTTTGGGATTGATGGTTGCAGCGCTTCTGATAAAAGCATTCATAACATGGTTGAATATCAACCATAAATCTGTTATGATTGACATCGACGGAAAAGATACAGATAAAGATAGCGAAGAGATGATCTCTTCACTTCTAGAGAACAACGAAGCAAATTCTAATGATCACCTTAGCTTCATTCCAGTTGCCAAGTTTCTAATTGTGGCCCACATTTTCGGTGTGGTGGCAGCTTACCTACCGTTCGCCGCTCCAATTGATATAGTTTTCCATGAACACGGAATTAAAACGGAGGTCTATCTCTTCTTCAGTCTTTTGATTGTGTCATTAGTGGGCCTTACATTGCCAATTTTTTTCTCAATAAGTGCAAATAACAAGGAGGTAAATGTTTATGAATCAATGTAAATTGCTCTCCGACTATAATTTTTCATACGTATTTTTCTTCTGAATCCTCAAAAGCTTCTACATGTAGCCGTTTTATTGGAGGCGTCGACCGCATTGATTATTGTAGGAATGTTGAATTTCTCTCTTGGATTTCTTTTATGTTCATTTTTCGTGCCATTCGCGTTATTCATTGATCCAAAGTCAGGTCAATTCAAAACTAGGTATGCTCTTGTTTTACTTTATACAACTATATATTAATAACAACTCATGTGATTTTTTATTCTTTCAGACTATCCCAGCTGATTTGTTTTCTTATGAATCCAATAATGGTCGTGTACTTTGTTGTATTGTTGCTAACGTGGTGGTCTTTCGATGAACTCTCAATAATTGCGATTATCAAAAGAGCTTTGACTGCCTGCATGGATGCCTTGACATTTTCGATTGTTGACTCAATTGTAAGTATAAATTATTATACCATTTATTTGACGGAAAGGTTGGTTTAATAAACGAAATTAAATGCACTTTTTTAGCTAGCACATAAGCATTGATTGCCGAAAAATTAATTAGACTAATTTTCTAATCTTTTAATAGATCTACAGCAACTGGCTTTTTCCATTAGCAGCGTTTATTTTCTTCCCAATATGGATAACATTTTTTGGTATTCTATCCTTAACAAGCCAGTCAAAACAAACATTCCATGAAACTAAAAAGAAACTTTGATGTAACGCACTTTAGTCATTTTCAACGTTAAAAGATGTAACGTTTTTAGTCTTTTTTCCCCGTCAAAATCGAATGAAATTTCAGTGTAAACCAACTGCATGAATATTCGGAACGCTACCCAGCATCTGTCAAATTCGAACATTTGAAATGACAACCATTCCAACTACTACTATGTGCCGAACAAACTGAATAAACCAACATCTTAGAAGAATTTCGATTTGTGTATGTGTTTCATTTTGGCCGCGTGAATTAGGAAGAAATGGCAAAAGCGACACTTCTCTTTCATCTCATAGAACGCAACGAAACACAACGGACTCATTTGTTATTGTGGCGTGGTGTTGTATTTGTTTACTTTGGTTCCGTTGAGGTACTGTATCTAGTTTCTATATCGTAACCGATTAAACATGAATTTCATCACGAAGTGAGTGGAGTTTTTGCGGTACGGCATTATGTCAAAACCATATTCAGCTGTCAAACGGGTTTCATTTTCGTCCGAGCATTTGAAAAGGCAAGTTGTTTGTTGTGAATATAGTTCAATTTATAGCGAAGGGCTTGCGACGCCTGGAATACGGCCATATTTTCATATATTTCTATATTTCAGTCATATTTCAAATATTTGGAATATTTGATATATATAAGGCATATTTAAGCCATATTTTGACGTTTTTTTGGTATTACCCGATATTATTTTGACTATATCTATATGAAATATTTCTCTCAATTTTCAAATACAGTAAAACCTGTCAATAACGGAATCCCGTGGGGAAATTTTTTTTTCCACTATTGACAAGAATTCCAGTATTCACAGGATCCGTTATTTAGAGGTTTTTGAGTCGACTCATACAAGATTTTCCATTATTGAGGGTAAAAAGAAACAAAACATACATTTTTATGGGTATTCATCTATCAAATCAAGTGATATAATGAACGTGAAAAGGAAATAATGAAATAAAAGTATTTTTTTACTAAATGAATGAAGGAAAAACGAAAGTGGAAAAACAGTGAAATTCACTGAGTGAATGACAAACATCACTTTTTAAAATAATCAAGCAGTGTAAACAATGACTCAAAATGGGAAGGTAAATGATACTCATTTTTTACACTATCAATTTGGCAGCGATGAATTCTGCATTTCATGGAACGAAACAATGATTACCAAACTTAATGTAAATGCACTGATCTAGTGAATATGTTTTTACTAGGAGCGTCAAAAATTTGTTTGCTTGAATAAATAAGCAATGATTTTGGCAGACAAAAATGAAAAATAATACTGGAATGAATGTAATGTCAGAGATGACTAAGCGCACGCTCAGTAGCGTATTCAGCAACTCAACTGAGAGTCGTTTTCTGCTCTGTGCGTTTACACTCACTTCGTTATGAGTTTATGTGCGCACTCTGACTTTGTTGTTAAGAAATGCGTGCGCACTCTAACTCTGTTGCCTATTATGGTTTATACACACATATAAAGAGTTGAGTGTGTATTGTCTTATTCTTTTCTTTGTGTTTCTTTCTTTGTATATCCTCTCTATTGTTTCTTCGTTGTGTACGAGTGCGGTGTAGCGCACTCCGTTGGTGCGCTTATACTCTCTTCATGGAGTGGGTTTGTTTGTGCTGCAGCGCAATATCGCACTGAGCATGTTTTAAGCACGCAAACTCAGTGTCCGTGCGGCCGTTGCTCGGTCACTCGGTGCGCTTCAGTCATCTCTGTGTAATGTAAATTGTACTGCACAATTTTTATGATGATCAGTGGTTTTGATAAAGGAAAAAATTAGTTTTATATGAAAAAGAGATGAATAAGAGACGAAAAAAAATTCGCCAAGAATTTTTTTTCCACTATTCGGAGTTTCGGTTTTCCGTTATTAACAGGTCAATTTGTATGGGAGAGCTCAACGGCCAAATATAGCCAAATACAGTCATGGACAAAATTGAGCGTACGCCTATAAATTTGTGTTTTATTTTTTCCAGTAACTTTTCATCTCAAATGTAATATATCAATGGGAAGTACATGAAAAATGAATAACATTGGGAGTTTTGAACATCAAAATTGGCCGGCCAATAGGCGGCTTATGGCCCTCGGTAAAAACGGCCAAAAATTCAACTTTTTCCCCAGCCGTTCGATTTAAAAAGTTTAAATGCAGTTTCGAAGGCCTTCAGGAGCAGATGCTTTTAAACGCTGAAAACTTTCTGATTGGTTTCAATTTGGCCAAGTTATGGCCGTTGGAAAAATGGCCGATTTTTTCCGAAAAATTAATCCAAGCGTTTGATTGCGAAATGTCATATGTCGTTGGAAAGCCCATTTAATGAAGATAATTTTAATAGTATAAAACATAGAAATCGGTTACAATTTGACCAAGTTATAGGCGTACGAAAATTTTCGTCAAAAATTTTTTGGGTTTTCCAACGGCCATAACTTGCCCAAATTGAAGGCGATCCGAAAGTTTTCAGCGTTTAAAAGTATCTGCTCCTGAAGGCCTTCAAAACTGCATTTAAACTTCTCAAATCGAACGGCTGCAACTTTTCAAATCGTACCGGTGTAAAAACTAAGTTTCATCAAGAAATTCGTTCTTCCTGAAATGTGGGAACGCCTAAGGTCATTATTTCCCAGCAGAAGCACCTTTACCCAAAACCATGGCCCATTATGAACTCAGGGCGGCCTAAACTATCGCCTGGCACTTATTCGGCTGATGTGCCAGATTAAGAAAACACGCGTCGGACTGTGAAATCTATTGTGGTCAACAAATTTTCGAAAAAATCGTATTTTTTCAATTTTTCTGCGTTTTTGGTTTTCTGCATTTTTTTCTTTTCTGCTGATTTTTTTTCTGCATTTTTTCTTTCTGCGTTTTTGGATTTCTGCATTTTGTTTTTCTGCATTTTTTCTTTCTGCAAATTTTTTTTCTGCATTTTTTCTTTCTGCGTTTTTGGGTTTCTGCAAGTTTTTTTTTTTATTATAATTAAGTAATTCAGTCAATGTTTTTAGGTGGAAAATACATAATATCGGATTAGTTTTCCTCATTTTTTTTCGTTTACCGACTCATATTGTTTTTTTTCTGTTTTTTTCTTGCTCCTGAACTACAGATGGGCTACCAGCGCAAAAAATCAAGGAAGAAGCCGAAGCCAATTGTGATGCTTGATCCAGACAAGATTAAGGACGACAAAGATGAAAAGGACAAAGACTCGGGCATAAGAACAATCAAAGCGCAGTTACGTTCCATTCTTCAGCCGAAATACCGTGACTTGTTGATTGCAGCCATCACCGACAAATCAATAATGGCAACGAAAATTTGCGCACTTGCCTCGCAGTTGTTCTGCGTTGCGCCAACTGTGCCGTTGTGAGCGCGCATCTGACGAAAATCACAGAGCATTTTTTGAACAGAATGGCGAACAGGTGATCCGGTCATGTTTTTTTTGGTGTCCTGGAGGATTACATCTACATAAACGATATGTTGCCGGAATTTCGTGAAATGGTGCACCAGCTGGACGATGGCCATGGTACTTTGGCCCAACGTGAAAAATTTCGGCAACGCAATGAATGATTTAATAGATCCGTACGTGACGAACACAAAAAACAACTTGAAGACGCATAGCGAGAAACGCCTGCGCGAATATTTGCGAGTAAAAGTGTTCGAATCTTCGTTGGTTGTTCGATACGAAGAGGCCGACATCAACCGTGTGATTAGTTTGGCAATTTTTGGAAAAGACGATATTGAAATAAATGGCGTGGGTTGATGTTGCCAAACGTGAGCGGCGTGCGTTGTTGATGAAAATGGCCACGGACAACAGTTGCTGGGACATACCAGACAACAACATCGGCCGATTCACAAAGGGGGAGGACTGGTTCAAGAGCATCGCATTCTGGATTTCCCTCCATCGGCAAATTGATGTATTCAACACATGTGAGAGATATCGAGAAGTACGACAACACCAACGTGAAGAGTTTCAAGAGATGAAACGATGCCGACGTCGAAATCACCGTCCGTGCACTTGCCAGCAGCCGACAGATCGAGGCCAACATGAGTACATCGAGAAAGGACCGCCGAGAGTGATAAATCCGGCAGTGATTCCCATTTGCAGTTTCACTCGTACCCATACACGTTGGACATTCGAACATTGTACTTTTTGTTGCGTCAATTGGAAACCGCACCAAGTAACATCACAGAGGATGAGTTCAGAAAACAGTAGGAGTATTATTGAGGCTAATACTTCGATATGCTGAAAATCTATCATCTCGGTCGTAGCAGAAAAGAGTTCCGTTTCCGGATTCTCTCAAATGGACAGGCCGTATCGCTACAATTTAATGTTGACAAAACGAAAATGGGCAACATGGAATCGGACAAAAAGGCCATTGTTCAGAACTACAGTAAGTTTGTCAATGAAGGTGGTACTGATCCGGGTGTGAATACGTACGATCGTGAAAATCGTGCGCTCTATCCGGTGATGCATCGCCATTGAGTAGACACTCGGAGGACTACATTCGGCATCGCCTCAAAATGACGGAACGTGGCATTGCCGTGTATAAGAATACACGAGACTCAACTTTGACAAATACGTTCGATCAAACTGTGTGACCGATAGCATAACCGGAATGTTGACCAACCATCAGCCACCACTTATGCATTTCGGAGCTGCTCAAATGTCGTCCAGTTCACCCATCGGCATCAAAAAGACACTGCGTTGCCCGAGCAATCGAAAGATGATACGGAGCTACAAAAAGTGTCCTGGTTGTGTAGTTAATATGGTCGACAAGTATTTCACTTCTCAAACATGTGCCAAGTGCTTTGGCCGTTTTGATCGACGCACGAAACGACATCGCTTCAAAGTCTGCCATTATTGTCGGCCGCAATTGGTAGAAGCAATGCTGCCATCAATGATCGTGTGCAAGGTCAACAAATGAAAGATGAGGGAAGAGAAGCTGGAACTGTTTTTGCTCGAGAAAGAAGCGGAAGAGGGCAACGGAAATCCAGCGGTTGGCAATGATGTCCCACATCCAGATCAACTAAACCCAGATTTACTCCCAAATATAGCGATCTACCACAAAATATGGCATGTAAATGGGACTAGTGGAATTTTGGAATACGTGAACGTCAATTCAGCCGGTTAGATGAAAGTTGTTGAGCCACGAGTACACAAGACGACATGACATCGTGACATAGCCGCTTCAAAATGTATCCTGATCAAAGGTAAATGCTCATAATATATTGTCAATATATTCAATATAATATTGATTGTATTGCATGTGAGGTGCAGTGCTTTATTTACATATCATTCATTGTTTTCTTGTATGATTTTCAAGGACACTGTGACTTGTTCGGGTATACATTACCCGAAACATTGCAGAGGCCATCCAACCAGCGAGCTGCTATCAACAACTAACCAGCATCATGCATCGTCTTTCACGCCATTCACATTGAATAATTCAAAAATTAAAATATAACAGTAATGTTATTTCCGCTATGCCTGATTGTTGTGGTATAGTAGGCGTAACTCGAAAGAGGTCAGAAGTACCCATGTAAGTAAATTGTTTTTCAATTGAAATAAGAGTATTGAATGTATTGATGCTTATTTTATGCAATTTTTTCTCCATTCATTCCATGCACAATTGATCACTATGACGGTTAATTCTACGGTTAAATCTATCCCCGTATTTAACCTTGGATATGTGCCTGGAATCGGATGTATTTGGGTTGATAATTGTTACTAGATGGGTAAAAAAAACTGTAATAACTTGTAGCATGTTCATATTTAATGCTTTCATTTAAATGTTCAAGGACTATTTAAATATCAAAAAAATATCTACTCTTTTTGTTTCAAATATTTACGACGGAACCAAATCGAAGTAATCTTTGGGGAAAAAATTGACAACCACTTTTTTGAGTGACTTTTTTCTTAGAGCAGCAATTCGAATGGACTGTGACAGTATACTATGAAAATTTTCATTTTTTTCCTTTTTATTAATTATTTTATTTCATTTCACTTGAGATCGAGGAAGTTTTTCATCAAATTGCAATAACAGTAATTCACTATTGTTGGAGCAGTTTGGTTACAGCATTGGAAAAAAAATTGGGATAGGTTCATATTCGACAGTGCGGGTAAGTTCATTAAGATATTGAAAAAAAAACTGCATAGATTTTTTTTCATTCAGGTTGCTTATTCGAATAAGCAGAAGAAGCTTGTTGCATTGAAAATAATTTGGAAAGACAAGGCTTCGATGTTATTCCAAAAAAAATTTCTACCTCGTGAAATAAATATCGTGAAAACATTGCGACATCCGAATATAGTTCAATATTTTCAATGTATTGAAACGAATCGAAGGTGTGTATAACACACATTCCAAAGGTTGACCAGGTGTTAACAACACATCTATAAACTGTTCTGTAGATTTATCATTGCAATGGAGTATGCACAGACTGGGAGTTTGCTGGATTTGATGGCAATGAAACATGTTCTAAGTGAAACAGAAGCGCGTGTATTCTTCCGTCAGCTTATTGGCGCGCTGCAATTTTGTCACTCAAAATTCATTGCACATCGTGATTTGAAGCTTGAAAACCTTTTATTGTTCTGGGAAAATTGTTTGAAAATAGGGGATTTTGGATTTGCACGACACTTCGATGTAGACGATGGATCGACAACGTTTAGCTCAACCTTTTGTGGAAGTAACGCTTACATTAGTCCCGAAATACTCCATCAGCGTTCATACAATCCGTAATTAATCGAATGAAAAAATCGAACAAATGTTTATTCGTTTATTCTAATTTTTTTTCTTTTCAATTTAATTGGAAGACTATCTGCTGATATTTGGGCATGTGGCGTTATCTTATTTGCTATGGTTTTTGGCAAGCTGCCCTTTGATGACTCCGGATCCATTCAACATTTGACACAGGTGAAAAAATAATGATAAAATGTCGAATTCCAAGTGATTTACCAAAAACAGCATTCGCACTTAATAGTTTGAAAAATTCAACAGAATTATTTTTTACAGCTAGTTGATAAAGGACTTGTTTTTCCTATCGACAAAAAAATTTCAGTAGAATGCAAAAATTTGATCACAAATGTCATGACACCCGAATCGATGCGCCCAAAAATTCGATCTATTCTAAATGACCCGTGGATTTCTTCAAATCTTGAAAAATAAATAAAAGCAGGTAGCACAGAACAACAAACAGATTTTTTTCATGTGGAACCTACAATTTCGGAGAAATAAAATGTATAGAAATAATGATATTTATCCGTGATTTTTACACAAACTTTAAAATAAGTAGCAACATTAACTGTGATATAGCCATCCATTGAGTTGGTGATTAACTTTTGACCTGCCATTAATTTATAATGGAAACTACCGTTTATGTTAATGTATTTGCAAGTATTGTAATTTTTTTTTTCTTATGTCTTTCGGTCTCTACTAAATTACAAATTCATAACTACCAACAGGGACTTGTTAGATTAGACGTAAAATTTTTCTTCAATGTTTCACCTCTTGATAAATTGAATGATGACTTTTGCAGTCATTACGGCCGTCACTACAGTGTTAACGCTTCAGTTAGTCTTTCATTTTTTACACGTTTAAGTTAGGCTATATTGGACCGTTTACATTTCGGCTACCTATGCATTTCCATGTATTGGTTAGGTTATCTTGTGTCAATGCTTTTTAGACCAAGTTGTTATACCAATAGAAAAAGACTATTACTTACAACTACTTATTGTATAAAATTACCATATATTGTACAAACACAAAAAGATCAGGTTTTTCACGACTCTTGGAGTCGTTTTCCTGCAAACCAAAATATTCAGCCAGTTTTTGGCGGTGTTAAATAAATAAATAAATAAATAAACCTATTTTAAAAACTCCATCATTTATCGCTATTATGAACAAATTCCAAAACTTTATGGCGCGTTAGAAAGCTACGTTCTTCCAGCGTTCAGAGATATCGTAACTTTTTTTCTCCTTCAATTACAAACAATTCCTTTAGGCTGTAGCCGGCATGTGTTTTTGTCCGACGCGTGTTTTTTTCACTTGGCATAAGAGCTGAACTGGTACCACGCGGAGTTCAGAATGGCCCATGGATTTGGATTCTATAGTTATTTCGAAAAGTTATGACCAGGGCTTAAGAATCGCACATTCAGTTTTCAGTACAACTCATTTCAATGAGAGCCACAGCGCTCGTGTGCGATATTTTTCTCATACAAATTGAGTTGCTAAGTAAGTTGCTGTAAGTGACTTCTCCTTTGCTTTGTGCGAATCTCGTTCAGTCGAAAAAAAAATAAGAAGAAGAAGTAGTTCTATATGGCACGGTCTATTCGTACGGTAAAATTTACGTTTAGCCTCACAGGCTATTCGTACGGTGAATTTCAGAATTTCGTACGAATAGATATAGAGACTAAACGTACGGATCGTACGAATAATTTTTCTTAACAAATGAACTTATTCGAATGCGAATGCGTAAAAATAATTTTTCTCCGTATGTTTAGTCTCCATGTCTATTCATACGAAATTCTTAAATCCATCCATATAAACGAAAAAAATGATTCTGTTTCGAAACATGGTAGCAATAAACAAAAAAACAACAACAACAAACCAATTTGATTACTCATTTTTGGTGAATTGTGTTTGGGCTGCAAATCATGATTGAAATCAAACTGATTGAATGTACTGTCTTCAAGTGCAAAAATCAACTCGGTCTGTCTGCGTGAACGATATTAATTGCTAATTCGGCAATTTTGGGTTCAAAACAATCGATTGTAGACCGATCAACTGTTTTGAATCCGAAATTGCCGAATGAGCAATTAACTTTACCGCAAACTTTGTTTGTTAGGTAAAGTATTGGTTTTACTAGCCAAAATTTCATGACATCTCCTCTTTCGGACCACTATAACGTCACGCCAAACTTCAAAAAGCACATATCTGTACACTAGGCAATGTAGATGGGATGAAATCCTATCGATCAAGACCTATCTGCCTCCAAAAATACGTTGTTTACTATGGGAAATGTGTAAAATAGCGATGTTCGTATGGCGTCGTCCGCGTTCGCGTTCGCGTTTTTTGTTCGCCGATTATCTCAAAAAGTTGGCAAAATAATTGAGATCTGTAAAAGCCAAAAGTTTTGGCATGTCGAGACAAAGCTTCGGATTGATTTTGAGCCTATTCTGAACTACCAATTTCGTACCATAAGCCTTCGACTGAGGACCTGAAAAACCTTGAAAAATGACACTTTTGTACGGGAAGTACCCGAAAAAGGCATTTTTCGGGGTTTCGATCAAGGCAAACTGCCATTTTTTTGCAAAAATAATGGGAGTCTGTGAACAACCGAACACCTACTTGCCCATAAATTTGGTCCAAAATCGACATTTCTTGAAATTTTCCCCGAAAAATAGACTTTTATATGAAAAATCACACAGAAAGCCATTTTTTAGGGTTTTGATCCAGACAAACTGTTTTTTTTGCAAAAATAATGGGGGACTTCAAACAACCGAACACCTACTTGCCCATAAATTTGGTCCGAAATCAACATTTCTTGAGATTTTGTTTGAAAATGACACTTTTGTATGGAAAATGGTCGAAATAGTTATATTTTAAGGTCAAAAATGCTATGAAAAAAGGGTCCATTGAAATTTTGGTTAAAAATTAAGCAGGAGGTAAACTAAATTTCTGCGGAGCGGTAAAGTTTGGATTACGTATGTAATTCGTTTTATTTGCACTTGAAGACAGTACAATCAATCAGTTTTATTCCAATCATGATTTGCAGCCCAAGCACAATTCACCAAAAATGAGTAATCAAATTGGTTTGTTGTTGTTGTTTTTTTGTTTATTGCTACCATTTTTCGAAACAGAATCATTTTTTTCGTTTATATGGATGGATTTAAGAATCTCGTATGAATAGACATGGAGACTAAACATACGGAGAAAAATTATTCGTACGATCCGTACGTTTAGTCTCTATATCTATTATTGTTCTGCACCATACAGCGTTTCTTCGCCAGAGGTGGTTTATTTGGTATAAATATTTGGTTGCATATTTACAATATTTATAATATTTTCATTTACTTCTTTAGTTTCTCCAAGTTCTAATTCTTCTAAAATAATCGGTTATTCTCTGTTTGACAGTATCTGTACTAACATTAAAATCAATTAAGTAGGTATCACAAATTGGAATAGAAATAGTATCACATTCATTCGTTTGATTAGGCGGTGTGATAGGAACAAAATATTTGTAAAATTCATTGTATGTCATTAACATGAAATTGATTGGTTCAAACATTGAATAATTATATATTCTAATCGGAAGTGAAAGAAATTCAGTGTTTCGTGTTCGATGTCGTGGTGTTCTAAAATTGATTTTTTCCATGATATACTTTGATGATATTTGGCCACAAATAACGTTGTGAATGAAGCAAATTTGTGCGATTTTTCTTCGTTCCTCCAAAGTGATCATTTGTAAAAAACGAATCTGTTTGGCCATTCCATTCTTCTCAGTGCGAACAGTAGAAATTGCTTTTGGACTGATTCAATTCTAGCAATTTTCTCATTGGTGTGTGGGTTCCATATTTGTGATCCGTATTCAATAATAGGTAATACGAATGTGAAGAAGAGTTTCTTTATGGTCCATGGGTCATTGAAATCTCTTCCAAAACGCTTGATCCACGCAAGTCGAGATTTAACTTTAGCTGTTATGTATTCGATGTGTGCGCTAAAGTTTAGTTTCTCATCCAAAATGACTCCAAGATCCTTTATCACTTTTACTCTTTCGATCGACTTGCCTTCAATAGTGTACTTGAAGTCGAACTTCAGCTCAACACGGTGGTATGATACGTAATTCGTTTTCTTGACGTTCAGGTTCATGCAACTACGTTTGAAATAATTAACAACTCTATTTAAGTCATCCTGAAGTGCCAAGCAGTCATCATGTCGCTTTATTTGCATTGAAAAGCGAGTGTCATCGGCAAACGACTGCAAGTTGGAGTTCATCAGGCAATGCGGCAAATCAATGATAAACAGGACAAACAGTGTCGCTCCGATCGGATATCCTTGACCTGTTCCAGATTTGACTTCAATGGGATTCGACATGACTTCATTCAATTTAACTATTTGTTGACGCTCACTTAGGTAGAAAATTATCCATTTTAACAGCTGTTCGTACGAAATTCTGAAATTCACCGTACGAATAGCCTGTGAGGCTAAACGTAAATTTTACCGTACGAATAGACCGTGCCATAAATGGGGATCCACAGAAATTCTTCGAGTATGTCAGAACGGGCAATAATACCAATAACGATCTTCCAAATGAAATGGAATATGATGGCAAAAAATGCACCGACCCATACGAAATTGCCAATTCATTTGCAACACACTTTGGAAAAGCATATACACAACCGATTGATAAATCCGAAGCAAGCTATGATGAAAATGACCCGATATTATTCGAACAATGTGCAAATTTCCCACGTACTGATGTTACTGAAGAATTGGTTATGAAAAAAATCCACGGTTTGCCAAACAATTGGTGTCTGGTCCCGACGGAATACCGAATATGTTCATCAAAAACTGCATTCACATATTGGCTGAAGCCAATACATATTGCGTGAATCGTTAAATTCTGGTTATGTACCGAACACATGGAAACGCTCTTATGTAAGACCTGTGCACAAAAGTGGAGCTAAATATAAAATTGAGAACTATCGTGAAGTAGCACTGCAATGCATAATACCAAAACTGTTGGACTCGATAGTAGCAAATCATTTGAATTATTACATGAAGAACATCATCGATGGCAGCCAGCATGGTTTTGTCAAAGGAAAATCAACAATAATGAATCTCGACCTTGCTAAAGCGTTTGACTCGGTTGACGTGAAACTGCTCACACACAAGCTGAAAATTATGGGATTGAATGAGCAAATACTAAAATGGATAAAATCATATCTAAGTGAACGTCAACAAATTGTAAGACTGAATGGAGCCATGTCTAATCCTATCGAAGTAACATCGGATCTGCAGTACAAAATTCATATTCCTTTCTGCGTCTCAAGTCGAATTTGAGACTGATCCGAGCCGAATTTAACAAAATTGACTTGGGACGCAGAAAGGAATATGAATTTTGTACTGCAGATGCGTTACAACAACGCAACGCATGAAAAATATCTGATATTTTTATGCGATATTCCTATCCCATATGAATAAAAATATCTCATAGTAATCTCTGATCATAGTCAAAAAATACCAGTCTTAAACTATTTGGTATTATATTCATTTGGCATTACAATCAGGTTTACATTCAATTTTTGTTTATTCACTAAAATTTACATTATGTTAAATGCAACAACACTCTCACGATTCCAGCAATTTTTCGACACTTTCTGGTGATTTGCCTTTTGTTTCAGGTATGAAAATCAATGCGTACATTGCGCAAGCAAAACAACCTGCGCTAAACACTAATAAGCAACCATGTAATTTTATAATTTGAAGTAGATATAGATATGCGATATTTGTGCTAAAACCGAGCACCCACATTATCATTGAGGTTATCGTCATTGTTGTGTTGCGAATCTAAAGATATGAAATGAATTAACTAAATGCCGAAAACATTGAGTTTGTTACGAAATATTACTTACTTTCGGTGGCAAAACATCTATAGTAATGATAAATGGAACGGGAATCAGTCCAATCGAAGCAATAAATATTGTTATTGACAAACCATACATGGGAATCCAGTTACTTTCAGGTAATTCATCTTTGTATAAACGATGCAGAGCCAAAACAAGCATTCCAACTCCAGCACCAATCGAGGACAATGTAAAAAGGATTCTGCGTCCAATTCGGTCTATTAGAAACATAGTGAGGAAATTGGCCAATAGCTGAACAACACATATTAAAATCGATGATTGAATAGGCGTTAGGGATGATCCAGCCTCCGCAAAAAAAGGAGTTGTATACGATAATAAAATGTAACATCCACAGAACTGCGGCAAAAACACCAAAAATAATGCTATTGAAACTGCCCTACGGGTAGATCGCGTTCCGACTACAAATCAAATACATTCAATCTTTTTCATTGTTCTTACAATACAATAAATTACTCAGACTTACCAAAATCACTGATACTCAAGCCGTTATCTTTGGGAGTTTTTTTTTCTGTCATAAATTTCTCCAATTCAGGTGTTGTAGTCACTCCTTTGTAAAACTCAAGCGACATATCTGCCAGCTATAGAAATGATTTTAGTATTATTTGATTATAATTGGAGACTCCAATTTAGAGTATCATGATCATTCACCTCTATTTCATTCTTTTTATATAAAATCATCGGCGATTCCGGAACAAAATAGAATACAAATGCGAACAGAATAGGAACTGATAAAGCGCTAACCTGTATTTGGAGAATTATTCATATTGAGTTAATGTGTTTGGGGAATAATACTATATTTCTATTGACTAGATCGAGAGGAGAGTAAGTTCATCTGACTTTGTTATGAAAGAGAAGAGTAAGTTTCTTTCGACTCAAAAATGGTTAAAGGCGAGTATGTTCATTTTTGGCGGGTCCTCGCGGTTTTCCACGGTTTCCGCGGAACTGATAAGAGATAACAACTTGGTGTCTTCGGCAAAGTTGTAGCACTTGAGGTCTTCTATAACATTGCTGAAGTCAGTTATCTCTTATCTTTTATCAGTTCGGCGAAAAGCGCGAAAAATGATAAGAAAAAAAAGTTCTATATAAAATTTGCTTTTTTATGTGCGCGATTTGCGCGCAACTGATAAGAGATAAGAGAAAGATGTCTTCAGCAATGTTATAGAAGACCTCGAGTACTACAACTTTGCCGAAGACAACATGTTGTTATCTCCTATCAGTTGCGCGAAAACCGTGAAGACCGCAGAGGCTAGATGGTACTACAACATACTCTACTTTAACGCCAACAGAATCATCAGAAAACATACTCTCCTCTTCCAAAATATATTAGAATTTTTTCACATACTCTCCTCTCGATGTAGTCAATAGATTTACTGATCTTAATAATAACTAACTGCTTGCATTTGAAAATCCAGGAATATCGCAACGGTGAAACCTACTAAACTTCCCAACGAACTAAAATAAATGTAAAAATTAATTTCGTATTATTTGATCAATTTTATTCGAACAATTTTCATTACTTCACAAGGAAACCCATGGCATTCATTGTTCCTCGAATGCTAAATGATACAAATATTCGAATTGGTCTCATATTTTATTTTGAAAAATTTGTAACCGATTACCTGTCTGAACAAATTTCAGATACGAAAATTGGAATTGAAATAAAAAGTCCCCCACCAATGAACCCACACAAAACGCGTGAAATGTAAAGCCAATATGCGTTTTTTGCGAAAATAATGAACGTCCAGCTTAACTAAAATAAATGAAAATTGAATAATGAATTTATTACTTTTCCGTACACACCGTGTCAAGGGAAAGTATAGGAATTGGTCCCGAAAACTTTTTTCGCAAAATTAGCTTAGATCATCATAAAAACTCATGAAACGCGTAGAAAACTACTTTTTGAGACACTTTTCCGTTCGTGTGCCGTCGTCGTCGTCGTCCTCGTGGTTGTCGTTGGTGTTTGTTAACACGATAACTCAAAAAATAATTGAGATAATCAAAATCTGGAAATGCCAAAAGTTTAGTATCTAAAAAACTTAGTTTAAGTTCGAAGATGAGCCATTTTCGATTTGATCCTGGGGTACTTGCCTTAAGAAAAACCTCACAAAATTGAATTTTTTGTATGGAAGGTACCCGTTAATCGATTCTGATTGGCTTCAAACTTTCTGAGGTTTCATTTTTTGTAGAAAAAATAAGTTTCCAAAAGTTTCATGTTGATCGCATTTGAAGAAGTTTGGTTTTTGACCTTCAATTTTTGCCGAAGATTTCTTGGAAAAAATTGAGGGTCAAAAACCAAATTTGTGCAAATGCGATCAGCATGAAACTTTTAAAATCTTATTTTTTCGTCAAAAAATGAAACCTCAGAAAGTTTGAAGCCAATAGGAATCGATTTATGGGTACCTCCCATACAAAATTATCGAAGTTTTGACTAAAGTGACCGTGATTTTTCAAGAATATTTAAAAAAAAATCCAAAAATACGGACAACGGTACGGAAAAGTTCGGGATTACGAATGTAGTTCTTTTTATTTGCACATACGATTGTTGGAAAAGCAAGGAACATGATTGGTTTCTTTCTTCCGAATTTATCCAAAGCCCATAAATATACTATGTTTCCCATTAAACCTCCAGCGCAAATGAGGGACATAACTAGGGATGCCTCGTCATAAGAAATTGGTCCATCTTGTAATTTTGTATTGGGTGACTGTAATTCCAAAAAATTAACATTAGCCCATGCACATGCCCACCCAAAAGAAAACCCAATGAAATTGGCTAAAAATAAATTTTAACGTATAGTAATCCGTTATGTAATTATTACTATCATGAACTAACGAAACCGACCTGAAATTGCTGAGAAAAATTGGCGTCTCACTTCTATAGTAGCCATTGGTGATTCTTGATTCACAATGAGAAATGATTTTTTTTAAAAAGTTCTTCTTCGTGTATTGAATTATTGTTTTGTGCCTGGAAACAATCAAATTAACACTGAATTATGTATGCATCGTATTCAATGTATCTGCTCTTTAAGCAATCAAATTTATTTGTTTGCTTATCTTGACTTTTCGTCGTCTGACGAAGGTAGTTCTGCTTGATAAAATGTTACTATCACAATGCACAGCAAAATATTCAACCCAATGATAAGAAAGAGAGATGCCACTCACGAAATTTATAAGGCATGAGATGGGCTGTTTTGTTCTTTTTTTGGTATCACAATTGAATTTATTTATTTACTTAGACTAATTGATTTGATTTATTGCAAAAGATTTTGCAATTTGATTTATTGCATTATTCGGAATCTCATACGGAAAGAGCGAAAATTTCATCAGACATACATATTACATGTCTGAAACAGAGCGACAAGGAATAAATGATTTAAATTGCAACTGGCAATATTGTACTCAATTGCTATCAAATTTACATACGCAATATTTGAGATGCCGCAATCAACAATGAAAAAATAAAAAAAACTGGATTTCGTAATCTCTTCATCCACAAATATTCTCCTTTCTACTAGAATAAAATAAAATTTGACAATGAAATTATTGAGCATGTGCGTGTGCATGAAAACACACCATTTTTCCATAATGGGTGAGGGCAAAAGTGAGACTTGAATTCAGAATACATATAAAC